TGGTTTTATAATTAATTACAATAGTATCATTTATATGAATAAAATTACACATTTTAATATACTAAATTGGATTAATATGTTCTATTTAACCGGTTCAATATCAGACTAATATATTTAAATTTTAATTAAAAAAAATTTAATTATAACATATAATACATATATATATTAATACATCTCAATTATGGAACGTATTCTAAATACTAATTATGGAGAAGAATGGTGAATTGGTGATGCTATTGACTTTTTAGTTCGTCATCTAATAATCAACATGGATGCAAATAAATACTCACTCTCTTCTTTTTAACGTCAACATCTACTAAATTATTGTTATCTTTTCAATTAGATCTTGCTTAAAAATTCTAAGAAATTAATATAAAATCCAATATTTTCTGAACTCTATTTACTTTTCTTGTCTTAAAGAACTGTTTTCTTACTACAAAAAGAAACAAGGAAAAGATTAGAGATGTGACTGAAAGTTTAAATATTTACCAAATAAATTTTCATAAATATTAGTTCGTCTTTAAAAGTTTCAAACAAAAGAAGAAAGAAAGTAACGACATGGTTAGTCAATTCTTCCTTTTTTAAATTGCTAAATTTATTACTTTGAAATGGGTTGACGATCTATTTCCCCATGGTAACTATCATATAGCATCAGATCCACACCAAACTATGACCTCGTTCTATATGTCTATCAAATGAAAGTTTAAGATCTATATTCCCACGAAAGGATAGTTCGAATCCTTATTCCCCATAGGTGTTGGTTTTTACGGTTTGTGACGGTTAATGATCTAAACCGAAGAATTAAACCAATATTCAGCAAAACTTAACAAAAAAAACGACCCGAACAAAAGAAAACCCGACCTCTCCAATATGGTCTGAAAATCCCCAAATCAAAAAATACACTAAGAACCCTAAAATCGATTCTGAAAAATCGATTGTTCTAATCTGTAATTTCTGAAATCGAGGGTAAGTATACTGTCATGGGTTCATATTTGAGGGTAAATCATAGTCTATTTCTTCTATTTCGTGGTCCAAAATTTTTCTCGACTTCAGTTGCATCTTGATCGACTTCTTCTTCATCGAAATCGTCTTCGCCAAGCTGAGGACGAAGGACTAACACCAACGAAATCGTCTTCAACCTCTTCCTTCAGCTTTAATTTTCGAATTTAATTTCTAAGGTTCTACGATTTGGGGATTTTTCTAATTTGGGGATTTCAGTGTTAGGGTTGGGAACGGGTTTCGACTGTATTTGGGTTTACTAGGTTTTTTCGGTTTATTATTCCTAATCGGGTCATAATCCGGATCGTTATTGGTTTATCTACCCTTATACATGGTTTAGGTTTGTTTCAAAAACAGTAAACCACCTAAAACCAAGCGTAATGGGGTTTTAGATTTCGAACTTTTATAATGTGGGGAATAAGGATTTGAACTATCGTTTTGGGGCGATATAGATCTTAAACTTTCATTTGATGGACATATAGAACGAGGTCATAGTTCGATGTGGATCTGGTGCTATATGATAGTTACCATGGAAAAATAGATCGTCAACCCCTTTGAAGTTAACTTCAGCAAGGGATAACCCTCCACCTCAAAAAAACCGTCAAATGCGAAAAAGGAATCAGTTTCTGTTTTACTTGCGAAAGAAGGTAAGAGTAATTTTAGGACATATGACGATGGCCTCTTCGTCTGGTCGGCCACATGCCTCACTTGCAAGTATTTCTCCTTCTGTTTTTTTTCTTTTTTTCTCAAGTTTAATGTAATGATGCATCTGTTGTAAAAACAATTTTTTTTTGCTCTTGAATATAATTTTACATTCAGTTAAAAAAAGGTAAAAGTAATTTTATAGAGTTATGTTTCCATATGCAGACTCCTCCAGAGCTTGGAAACTCCGATATTTTCCTGGCAAAGCTGAAAACAGAGATAAAGTCAAAGTTGTAGTCCTCGTGGATCCTGGACTGAAAGATCTTTAAACAAATGTTTTCTGAAATATGATTTAACGTTTCTTGTTTTCTTTGAAAAACGCTGTAAATAACCTTTTGAAACTCCTCCCGAAGCTTCAACCGAGATGCCTTTTTTCCTCTTGTTGCTTCTTTGATAATTATCTGTTCGATTAGTTTTCCCAAATGTTTTTTGTAAGTTGTAATATGTGCTTATTTGTGTGATTTTCGAAGAATATATATTTCTAGTTGTCATAAAATCAATCAAATTTTTTCTTTGTTCTTTTCTTTTATATAATGCAAAGATTTTGCTATCAAGGGCATCAAGCAAATATCTGAAGCTTTCCATTATTTGGAGATTTGCTAAAATTAAAAGACATCTAAAAGAAGTTTTGAATACTATGGAAGATGGAGGAAGACGATTGTTTTAGGTAAATAGCCATGAAGAGAGCACATGTCAAACATGGAGAAGCATGAGAAGGTAAAGCAAAAATTATTTCAACAATGTGGCAATGTATTTTTATTTAAAAAAATGTTGTCTTGGGAGCGTGTAACTAAGACCATGTTCATTGCTAGATACTCAAATGGATCTTTTGTCTATTTTTTATTATTAAAATGGGTTTAGAGATTCAAATAAAAAACCCATTTATTTTGTGACTCCAATGTTAGAATCTCTATGATTTTTGGTCGGGAAAAAGATATGATGAAAAAGAGAAAAAGAAATTTTGTCCCCACTTTTAACAAGCCAATAAACTTAGGACCTTATTTGTTTGTTTTTGGTGTGTTGAGTTTAGAGCTATTCAGGTAGTTGATTTGATGCATCTAGGGAGATCATGAGAAAGTGAATTGAATAAGAAAAGGATTAGATGAAGCACCAGCATGAATTATTTGTTCACCCTGATGATTGGATAATGATTGTAAAGTAGCTAGAAAAGAGGTGATCGACTAGTGCAGACACTAGGTTCGATTATTGTTTGTTGGAGTTCATGCCTGGAAGAAAGGATGATCCAGATCGCTAGGTGGTTATGGCGAACCACTCATTGTATGTGTGACGAAAGAGTTTGCCATGTCTTGAACATGATGAGAGTTTGCCATGTCTTGAATATGATGAGAGTTTGCCATGCCTTGAGCATGATGATCCGGTGCGCTTGAAATTGCTTGTGTGCTTGTAAATTACTGTTTGTTGCTTATTTAGTTTTATGTTTAATATATTGGAAATAAATGGATAATGTTTTCAGAGTGTGGATTTATTTCTTCACTGATTTTCCCAAATTACTCACTCCTTTCGAATCTCTATTTTACAGGTGAGTATGAGGATTATATGACCTTGATGGTTACGAGAAAGAGTAGTTCGAAGTAGTGTGCTTTCCGGGATGGGTTTTCTTTTGTTATTTCAATTTCAGTATTCCTTTTAAAAGACTTATTGATAATTTGCTTCAGTTTTCATTTCTAAGAATAATTTATGAATTTAATTGCAAGACTTGATTTTTTATTAAATGAATGAGAGTATTATTCAGGAATATGTTTATTTAGTCTAATAAATGTAATAAACCGGTTAACGGAAGGTGAATAGTTCGGTTGGTCTGGTAGAGAGGTTCACAATCACCCTCCCGCATTTGAAGCTTCAGATGGTCGGAGGGTTAAACTTAATCGTAATTCATGGAAGTCTTTTAATTGTCGACGTGGTGGGATCTGCTGTGGTTCAGTATCAGTATGGTTTACGGTTGTCAAATAGTCATTCTCACCGGACTGGAAGCACGGACTTATATCGACGTTACCATACTTTGTTTCCATATTTGTCGTCCTCTGCGTCATTACACCAATTTCACTGTGGAGATTTCCATGACAGAAGAAATTGATGTGGTAATGAAAAGACATGAGAGGCGCCGACATATGGAACTGTTCTCGTTTCCATCTTTCTTCTTTTTGTTACTATGTTGGTTCATAGCAACCACCTTTCCTCTCCTCTTTGGAGCCTCCTTCCCGTGTCCATCACGGTGGTGCTGGCAGTGTTATGTTTCTGAAATCGTTTGGATTTTTTTTCCAACCAATTATCGAATTTGGTCAGCAGCATTCCCAGCGAATTTCATTATTGTAATTTGGAATCCCAGACCGGGAATTAGTGGTTATAGAGTTAAGGAAGAGGGGCAAGCACATGATAGAGGATTCATGTTAGAAAACAAAAGTCACTGTTTTTTATAGTGACAATGATACGTACTGATTGGTATCATATTGTTGATTGTTCAGAGCTATATACAAAAGTATTGGGTTTTGTAATGGGATGTGCAAATTGGATTTTTTTTGTTTTATAAAGAAAAGATAGCTATATATACATAATTTTTGTTCTGCTCGATTACAGAAGAAGAAAATAATATGGATTAAATAATCGTTAACTAGTAAGACTTCAAAAAATCATTGTCAAATTCATTTTTTAGTTTATATAGTTTTAAATACATAGCAGATATTCATGCTTATGTAATAATTTTTTAAAAAAGTTTTTGTGTGAGCCAAAACTCGCACAACCAAAAATTTGTTTAAGAAAAACTAAGGGAACGGAAACTTCTAGGGTTTATCGTCAAAAACAATAAGATCGAAAGAAAATTTTTCTTACTGTAAAAGTGTTTAGCTCTTATTGCTTAGGGTTGCAAAAGTTACAGAATGAATTATATACATCGTCTATTTATACTAATTCTCTGAACCGCCTAGCCGAGATCTCGGGAGAAATTTTCGGAATATTTCCTTATCGCCTCGTGCGGCTCACCGCCTTTGTATTTTGCCTAGAGTTTCTATGGGCTTCGTCTCTCAAGGCCTTGGTTCGGCTCATCTCAACTTCTCCACGGCTCGGCCCACTTGTCATTTGAATCGAGACGTGACTTGGTCCACTTCACAAACCCACGGCTCGGCCCAAGCATGTTGAAGTGCGGCTCGGCCCATTTTTCATGATACGGCTCGGCCCATCTATCTTTCTTCACGGCTCTCCCCATTTGTCTATCTTCGCGGCTTTCCCACTTGGTGACCACGGCTCTCCCACTTGTCTTGGTGACCACGGCTCTCCCACTTGTCATGGCGAGCACGGCTCTCCCGCTTGTCTTGGCGAGCATGGCTCTCCCGCTTTGTCCTGGTGAGCACGGCTCGGCCCCTGTTTGGTGGACGGCTCGGTTACTTTGTCTTTCTTCCATACTTAGTCATTTTGAGATGGTTTTATCTGCTTGGGGTGAAAACCGACCCCAACAGTTAGCCCCCCAGCTCGTCAGTTTCGTAGGCGAGAGTGACGAGGTCCATTACTCCTGTCCGTAGGATAAACCATCGAGTCAAGCTGTCGCAATGTAAGCCCAGGTGAGGTGTTTCAGGAGTATAGACGCCGAGGCGTTCCCAAAGGGTGCTGAGGATGCCGAGGCATTTCGAGAGGGTGCTGAGGACGCCGAGGTGTTAAGGGCGAGGCGATTCTGTTTAGTAATGGTGAGCCTTGACGAAGCGAGTTGAGAAGGTTATGCCGAGCTGAATAAATGGCGAGGCGTTTCAAGAGAGTTGGTGCCAAGCCGTTTCATTAACGACGAGGCGTTTTGAGAGAGAGTTAATGCCGAGCCGTTTCGTTAACAACGAGGCGTTTCAAAAGAAGTTAATGCCGAGCCGTTTTGTTAACGACGAGGCGTTTCAATAGAAGTTAATGCCGAGCCGTTTCATTAACGACGAGGCGTTTCAAGAGAAGTTAATGCCGAGCCGTTTCATTAACGATGAGGCGTTTTGAGAGAGAGTTAATGCCGATCTGTTTCGTTAACGACGAGACGTTTTAAAAGAAATTAATGCCGAGCCGTTTCATTAAGGACGAGGCGTTTCAATAGAAGTTAATGCCGAGCCATTTTGTTAACGATGAGGCGTTTCAATAAAAGTTAATGCCGAGCCGTTTCGTTAACGACGAGGCGTTTCAAAAGAAGTTAATGCCGAGCCATTTCGTTAACGACGAGGCGTTTCAATAGAAGTTAATGCCGAGCCATTTTGTTAACGACGAGGCGTTTCAATAGAAATTAATGCCGAACCGTTTCGTTAACGACGAGGCGTTTCAAGAGAAGTTAATGCCAAGCCGTTTCGTTAACGACGAGGCGTTTCAAGAGAAGTTAATGCCGAGCCGTTTCGTTAACAACGAGGCGTTTCAAGAGAAGTTAATGCCGAGCCGTTTCGTTAACGACGAGGCATTTACTTTGGTGAGATATCGGCTGAAAACTTGGGTACCCCAACTGTTGGTCTTCCGAGAGAAAATTCCTGATCTATTGGCGCGTACAACCGACGCAGTACGGGCTAGCGATTTCACCGCGGATCTCACGCGCTGTTGGATGGTTTCCCGAGTTTTACACGGAATTCACGCGCTTCGGTTTTTCTATAAGTAGGTGAGCTGCTTCATTCTTCCTCATTATCTTCAGACTCACTCGTTTTCACTAAAGGTAGCTCTCCCTTCTCTCTTCTTTCTCTCTCTAGTTTATTTATTTTCCGGCTAGGGTTTCCGAGGTCTCCGCCGTTCCAGCTCTTTTTCCGGCAGAGGTTCGCCGAGTCGTGCTGTAATTCCTGTATAAGTTGTAAATTATGTCGAGCCGCTCCGACGATTCGCTAGATTGCCGAGCCGCGTAGATGCCGAGGTGAGAGGTACAACAGAATCCTCCGAGGCGTCTGTTTCACCGAGCCCTTCCAATTGTTCATCTGACGAGACGTCAAATCATGCAAATCCATCAGATGTTGGCTCTCCGGATGACGAGCCGTCGGTTTCGACGAGCCGTCCCCAAGATCCCGTTCCTGGTGAAGATATTAATCGCGCTGCAGTCAAAGCCGAGGAGGAGGCATTTCCCTTTGACCTACTCGAGGCGAAGCGTGAGTTGGAACGTCTCATGGCGTCCCGAGGCGCTTCCACATCTGGGCGAGGGCCACGAGTTAAGAGACAAAAGCCTGACCCGCCTGGCTCTATGCTTTGTTCCCTTGAGTCGCTCGAGGCGTTGAGGCATCGCTTCGGGATATCCGAGATGGTGGAGTTTGTCGTTCCAGAGAAAAGCGACCGAGCCGACAAGCCTCCAGAAAATCACTTCACTCTGTACGAGGCATTCTTCGAGCTTTGCTTTCTCTGGTTCCCGATCCCTGGAGTGATCCTCGAATATCTCTGGAAACACGGGATCTCGATTGGGCAAATCATGCCGAGAGGACTACGGCATATGATTGGCATCTTAGTTCGAAGCTTTGAATGCGGGCTTGACATCGAGCTGAACCACCTGCTGAACTTGTTGGAAATCAGGAAAGCTCCGAAAGGAAATAGATTCTATATTTCCAACAAGGCGAAGCGACGGATCATAGGCGGTTTTCCCAGCAACGATCAGTTTTGGACTGAACGCTTCTTCTACGTCTTGGTGAACGAGGCGTCGGTCGGCGAGGATTATGTTCAAAGAACCAAGACCGCTTGGGGACCACTTGGTAGCCGACCCGAAGCTTTGCCTCGGCTCGGAACTGTTTTTTTTTTTTGGTATCCTTTTCCCTTACTGAATTTTTCCTTTCTTTTTGCTTTGTTTTGCAGTTCGGAACGTTCTTCCCCCAATTCCCGATGATCTCTTTGTTGTTCGAGATTCTCTTTCGGCTCGGAAGGTCAATTGGAGGAAGAGTTTCACCCTCGAGAGAGTAGAGAAAGGAAGAGGCGTGAAGAAGAGGTGGCCGCGAGACGAGCTGCCGAGGCGGCTCAAGCGCAGACCGAGGCGGTTCCAGCGCAAACCGTGGCCATCCCTCAACCCGACCCGCCGAGCCGGGAAGGAGATGAAATGGTCCGAGCCGCAGAAGGCAACACTGCTGAGGCGGTCGAGAGAGATGCAGTGCCCGAGGTGGAACCGGGCGAAATTATTCCCGAGGTGTCCGGGGATGATTCGGCGGTGCGGAGCAAAACTCCTTCGAACTCCGCCATTTTAGCCCTCCCGAAGTCGACGAGGCCCCCGACTTCAGTTGTTCAGAAACATGACCCGAGCCGGAAACATTCGGCCGCTGACAAGGGGAAGGGCGTTGCTGTTCAGAAGGACGAGCTGTCTAAGAAGAGGCGGAAGCCGACGCCCGGGGACCCCGCCGCGCGCAAGTTGGTCGTTGACGACCCCGACGCCTCTGCCGTCATGTTCTCGCGTGTAAATAATGCGAACACGCGTCTTCCTCCTCTGGAGAAGCTGAGGAGGCCGAGGTCGTACGGCGCGATGGCACAGCGCGGTACCCAGGTACGTTCTATTTGCTTTCCTTTATTTTCGCGAATTTTTACTAAGTGTTTAACGCGAGTTTGTTCTTTGCAGTTTGTCGCGGCCATTAACAACCTGATGGCCGAGTACGAGGCGGACCTGTCTAAGGTCGAACGTCGCTTGGACGAGGCCCGAAATGAGACCGCGGCGTCAAAGGCAAAGCTGGAAGAGGCTCAGAACGAAGCCGCGGCGGCAAAGGGGAAACTGGACGAGGCGGTGGCCAGGGCGTCCATGCTGGAACAGGAGAAGATCGTTCTGCGCGCCAATATTGACAAGGTCTCCGCCTCGGTCATTCGTCTCGAGGTGGCGATGCTGAAGAGGCGTATCGAGGCCAAGGACGCCTTGTTCGATGCCAAGGTCAAGCGGGCGAAAAAGGAGGCGAGGCGAGAGCTTACGGCGAAGTTTCAGGAACGCCTCGCCAAGGTGGAGGAGGGTTTGGCCAAGCTCGAGAAGGCAAAAAATGACGAGAACGATCTGGGGCAAATCAAGGGCAACCTTGCGATGATTGCCGTCCTGAAGAAACCAGACGCCCCAACGCTCGATGATGAGGAGGCGCAGCTAAAGAGCTGGGAGAGCGAATATGCCGACGACGACTTGTATGAACGTATTGCCTCCGAGATCCGAGGCGAGCTGGTTTTTTTGCCCGTATCGCCGGACTCGGTCGACACAAGCCTTGGTAATGAGCCGCTCGAAGAGACAGCGGCCAACTTAGGCGTCGTAGATCCGAACGGATCGAACGCGGGTACGCCGGTCCTCTCGAACCTCCTTGCCGAGCGTGAAACGCAGTCCGCGGCCTGATACTCTCTGCTTTCCCCTGTTTTGTCTCTCATGCTTCTTTACTTAGGATTTTTATCTGTTTTCTGAAATTTTATGTAACCGGTGCCTGACGGTTTTATCCACCTGACATTTATTTTTGCTTATGGATATATATCTCTTTTCCTTAGCCGTTTTCGGATTTGATGCACTTATCTTTAACGATCTGTGCAAATATCTATGAAACCGTTGGCTTAGAGAAAATTGTCAAGGATGAAAACTACTGTGTCGAGAATGATTTTGATTGCTTCCTTAGCCGAATTCTTCGAAATCGATAGAAATACGAGCTAAGGGGTGAGTTGTTTAAGGATCTCGTTTGGGTTCTTAATCCCGAGCTGGGAGTTTGTTTTGTGGAGTGTCTTTTGTTTTCGGTGATGCTGGAAAGTTTTTAAGTGATAATGTCGAGGCAAATTTTTGCTGGCAATACCGAGCCGTATTTAACGACGAGGCGTTTTCGCTGTGCATGGTGTCGAGCCGTGTAAACGACGAGGCGTTTCTCTTTGTGTGGTGCCGAGCCATGTAAATGACGAGGCGTTTTCTTTGCGTGGTGCCGAGCCGTGAAAACGACGAGGCGTTTTATTTTTGTTTGGAGAGGGTGATTTGGTAGTCTCATTGTATTTGACTATGGACCGGCATTTCCGAGAGGATGAGTATGTTTGTCCGGGTTTTAAGAGTTTACTTCGGTTTTAGAGAAAGCGATGTAGTCTCGACTTATAATCTCGTGTGCGATAGTAAACTGTGGCGACCTGATAGGTTTTTGGTCTGATATTTGTATAGTGCGCTAAATTTTTATCCGTAGAGGATGTAACTTGCACCCTCGTCCTAGGAAAGGTGGTAAAAGTCCGTTTAGAGAACTTTGTATTTGTTGCCCCGTTGTGGCCAGCAACGAGACGAGGCGTTCGGAGGCTTAGTTTGCCGAACTGAAACTGAGGACCGATAAAGGTCTGAGGTAATCAGGTCATGATATCATGCCGAAGTGGTATGATTACTCGCCGAAGTGATGAGGGAAAGAATTTCAAAATCCGAGATTGTTAAAATAAGTTGTTGATTTAGAAAGAATGAGAAACTAGCCGAAGCGATAATGAACAAACTAGAAATCCAAGGTAAACGTGAAATAAGTGGATGATTCAAAACGAACTGAAAATGGGCCAAAATGGCGATATTCCTAAGTGAGAAAGCTAAAATTCTAGAGTTAAAGGAGGTATGTGTATACGTACCCACTCCCCCCCCAATTTAGGAGGGGGACAGATGAACCCGTCCGAGGACGGGCTGCCTACGTACCCTTTGCAGGGATCAAGCCGTCCCGTAGTTCATGCTGGCTGTGCTGTAGCTTTAGTGATAATACTTCTTTAGATGCATTGCGTTCCATGATCTTGGAATCGCTTCGTCGGCTAGTGTTGCGAGTTCATAGACTCCTGGACGAACCACTTTTGTAACCTTGTAAGGACCTTCCCAATTTGCTCCGAGCTTTCCTGCGTTCTTCTCGGCAGTGTTTTGGAAGACCTTTCGGAGGACGAGCTCCCCTTCTTTGAATCTTCGACTACAAACGTTTTTGTTGTAGTATCTCGCCGTTGCTTGTTGATAGTTCTGGATTCGAATTAAGGCTTGGTCGCGCTTTTCGTTGATTAGGTCGAGCTCATCTAGCATCATTAAGTGGTTCAAGCCCTCCTGTCCTGGTAGAAGTCTTCGTCGAATACCTGGAAAATCCACCTCGGGGGAATTACGCACTCTGTTCCGTAGACCAAAGCGAATGGAGTTTCCCCGGTGGCTTGGCGCGGAGTTGTCCGATGAGACCAAAGGACTCCTTCGAGTTCGTCTGCCCACCATCCTTTCTTGGCGTCGAGCCTCTTTTTCAGACCGTCGAGGATCGTCTTGTTGGCTGCTTCAGCTTGCCCGTTCCCTTGAGGGTATCTTGGCGTAGATTTGCTTAGGCGGATTTTCCACTTCTCGCAGAAGGCTTCAAAGCGTGTTGAGATGAACTGGGATCCGTTGTCGGTGACTATCTCGTAGGGGACCCCGTGTCTGCAGATGATATTTTTCCAGACGAAGTGTTCGACTTGAAAATCCTTTATGCTTGCGTAGGAATCGGCTTCGACCCACTTGGAGAAGTAATCCATGAGGACGAGCAAAAAACGTTTATACTTCGAGCGATGTAGAGGTCCGATGATGTCCATCGACCATCTCATGAACGGATAAGGTGACGAAATTGACGAGAGCAACTCGGTAGGTTGATGAATTTTTGGAGCGTGCCGCTGACACTTCTCGCACTTCGCCGTCAATTTGTCGCAGTCCTTAACCATCGTGGGCCAGAAGTAGCCGTGCCGTTTTATCTTAATAGCGAGCGACCTTCCGCTGGAATGGTTCCCGCACGCGCCGCTGTGCACCTCGTGCATGATCTTTCTTGCCTCCGCTCCTTCGACGCATGTCATGAGAGGCCCTGAAATCTCCATTTAAACACCTCGCCATCGACGATGACATACCGCGCGGCCTGAGCTTTAAGTTTGCGGGCTTCCCATTTGTCGGTTGGCACCTCTCCATCGGCGATATACACTCGGATAGCTCCGAGCCATTCTTTGTCTCAGCCATACTCCGGCTCGGCCGGTGAGGCGTCTTCATCCATAGGAATGGCTTCGTCGTTCTCTGGTTCTTGTTCAGGAGGATTTATCAGTCGAACTCCTTCCACCTCTTCGATGCTAGGACGTTCGATGAATTCGATAGGGATCGTCCGTCGGAGGTCTGGGTCCGAGGTCGACGCGAGTGCTGCCAAGGCGTCGGCCGAGGTGTTTTCTCCTCGGGGGATGCGCGTGAGTTCGAACTCGTCGAACTTTTGCACCAACTCTCGGACCACCTTGAGGTAAGCTCCCATTCGTCCATCCTTCGCCTCGTATTCTCTGTTGAATTGACATGCTACGAGCTGTGAATTGCAAAAGGTTCTTATCTTTCGAACTCCGATTCCCAGCGCTACTCGTATGCCGGCGATCAGTGCTTCGTATTCTGCTTCGTTGTTCGAGGCGTGGAAGTTCAGGCGAAAAGACTGCTCTAATATTTCTCCGGTGGGAGAGGTGAGACGGATTCCTATTCCCGAGCCGTGTTTAGACGACGAGCCGTCGACGTGCAGTGTCCATACTTCGTCTAGAGTCGGCTCGTCTGTTGCTTCGGCTGGAAGTTCAATGAGAAAATCTGCGAGCACCTGTGACTTTGCAGACGACCTGTTCCGATACTCGATGTCGTATTCGTATTAGTGGCGTTCTTTGTGAAGGCTCGTCCCATTGCTATCCAAAACGCTGTAATGTGTGCTTTCGGATCGGTTGTTCCTTCGTAGAACAGGATTCTCACTTTCCCGGGCTCGGAAATCCTTGCCTCCGTGATTCTTGCCGTGAATGGAGTTCTCTGGGTTTCTTCAAGCATTCGGTCGATTTCGGGCGCGGCGCTTGTTGTGTTGTGCACTTGGGACTTCATGGCGCGTATTTCAGCTACTGTCCGAGCCATTGAGGCTCGCAGCTCTTTGAGTTCGAGAGTTTGTGCGTGAGTCATTCCCTTTGATTGGGGGGGTCGCTCTCGCTCCTCTCTCCTCGGCTCGTCTTCGCGCTCTGCCTGCTCGATCCACTGGAGGTTTTCTTCCTCCTCGGTTGGGTTGTCGCCGCAGGTGTTGAGAAATCGAAGCGTCTCCGGATTCCATCCATCGGATCGGGAATTCCTGCTCTCCAAGTTGGGCGTAGTCGCTCAGCCGCCATCGCGTCGAGCCTCTCCGTAGTCGCCTCGTTTCTTTTGTCTTGCTCGTCGATTTTCTTCATTCAACGCAGCCATCATGTTTCGCATCTCCTCTTGGGTTTCGGTCGTCGCCGTCGTCGTGCCTGATGCTGGAGCGTCCTTCTCCGCGCCGTTATCATTGTTGTTGTTATCGTCGAGGGTGTTGCTCGCCATGTTATTCGGATCTTAAAGTCTTGTCGATTTAGAGTAAGAAAGTTTCGATTCCCCACAGACGGCGCCAAATTGTGTGAGCCAAAACTCGCACAACCAGAAATTTGTTTAAGGAAAACTAAGGGATTGGAAACTTCTAGGGTTTATCGTCAAGAACAGTAAGATCGAAAGAAAGTTTTTCTTACTGTAAAAGTGTTTAGCTCTTATTGCTTAAGGTTGCAAAAGTTACATAATGAATTGTATACATCGTCTATTTATACTAATTCTCTGAACCGTCTAGCCGAGAATCTCGGGAGAGTTTTTCGGAATATTTCCTTATCGCCTCGTGCGGCTCAGCGCCTTTGTATTTCGCCTAGGGTTTCTATGGGTTTCGTCTCTCAAGGCCTTGGTTCGGCCCATCTCAACTTCTCCACGGCTCGGCCCACTTGTCATTTGAATCGAGACGTGACTTGGTCCACTTCACAAACCCACGGCTCGGCCCAAGCATGTTGAAGTGCGGCTCGGCCCATTTCTCATGATACGGCTCGGCCCATCTATCTTTTTTCACGGCTCTCCCCACTGGTCTATTTTCGCGGCTTTCCCACTTGGTGACCACAGCTCTCCCACTTGTCTTGGTGACCACGGCTCTCCCACTTGTCCTGGCGAGCACGGCTCTCCCACTTGTCATGGTGAGCACGGCTCTCCCGCTTTGTCCTGGTGAGCACGGATCGGCCCCTGTTTGGTGGACGGCTCGGTTACTTTGTCTTTCTTCCATATTTAATCATTTTGAGATGATTTTATCTGCTTGGGGTGAAAACCGACCCTAACAATTTTTATATACCTTTTTTGTAATAATTAATTTTGATTTGATATCAATGAAATTATTTTATCGAAAAAAACTATTGACACCCTTAGTTTCGGATATCAACATGCCATATCAGCCATTTTAATATTGTTCATCTTCTAAGTTTTAGTTTAGTTTATGAATAAATTCAATTTGTTTGTTTTTTAGAATTGGATGTGATGCTGATTTGTTGATTTTAATTTCTAGAGGAAATATTTATCTCCAACATTCATAATGATTT